GTCCTGAATGTAGGCCCCAGAAAAGGGGCATCTGCGTTGGTCTGGTCTTCTAACGTTATCTCTGAACGGAGATAAGGGGCCTGAAAGTCCCTGGCTGGGCGGAGTCTGATATCAGACTCCGCCCACCAGGGATTGCTCACTACCTTGTCAATACGTGCCTCCCGACACGTATTGACAAGGTAGTGAGCAGAAGCTGCACACTGCACAATGCAATGCAACTGCACCCATGCAGTTGCAGCTCCTTCCCGCTGGCCTGCCGACGGGGACGAGCAATTCGAAACTCGTCCGCGCCCTCAAGACTGGGTCCCCAAAAATCGGGTTTTTTGTAAATTTTAGAGAGTTTGAAGTTCGGAACTGTAATCAGGGCCACGGAAAGGCCCCAGAATGACGAAAACATGGGGGGGTTAAATTCTGGGTGGACGCTGCCTTTAAAAGATAAACTTTTTGTTTTTATAGCTGTTTTGTTTTCTATGCATTCTCTTTACTAAAAACAATGATCTCACTGTTGAGCAGCATGGAGAGAGCTTGTCTACAGACCGCTTCAAGCATGTATCTGGTTGCCGCGCTTTTGGGGCATCTTCAAAATTTGGTCTCCTTAAGTGAAAAATTGTTTTCTTACTCTTTACACACCTCTGTAAACCCTACGTAAAAACACGTTTATACTTGACTGCTTTCTCAACTTAGATTTTTATGGAACTTCCCAGATCAGAACTTAACTAAAGGATCTTAAAGGATCTTATATGTAAAGCTGAATGTCTGTCTGTAACTATGCACAGGATTTCCCAGAAAATGTGCCTTAACTCTCTTGTCATGAAATCTTTCTGGAAGGATTGGGTACCATTTTGTAGAGATGGTTTCAACTTAGATTTACAGTAGGAGTGTATTATCGATCTTCCTTCATTACTGTAATATTAGGGTAGGAACTTAAAGCTTATGGCGCCATTGTAAGATAGACCTTCCGAAAAATTTAAAAAAAAAATCTGAGAATTTGTGTAACGGTTTTCATGAATGCTGACTTCACTACATTTCTTTTTGCGTTTCGCAGAGCTTTTTCTGAATAGCCTAATCAAATTCCCGACAATATCAGAAATGCATCGATACCTTATATCTGGTATAAGCTATGATAAAAGCATTGCGGTAAAGTGCGAGTTTTATATTTGAAATTAACAACCCTGATTAATCTGGCGAAAGAGTTTTCAGCTTTTCCAGTCCTCTTTTAGAGGTAAAATTTGAGCGTAAATAACGCAAAAGTCTCCTCAATATTCCTACCGTAATCCTACAGCAATGAAAAGAGACTGGTAACTCGCTCCATACCGTAAACTAAGTTAAAGCAAGCTCTACAAAACTGTACCTAAAGCTTCTCGAAAGACTCAATGGCAAGCAAACTATTAACAATCGTACAGTAGGCACATTTCTTGGGACACCCTGTATGTTTGTATGCTCTCCGAAAAATTTCATTTCTGAAACCGAACCAAACTTGGCACACATGCACTCAGGACGAGACTGTTGTCGTAATCTTTTACGTTACCAAACGATGTCGGTTTTACCAAGTTTTTGCAAAGTAGCTACGGGGTATGGGAGTTGGCGCGGGGGGTAGGCATAGATGGGTTTAAACGGTTTGAATCTATAATCAACACATAGGTGTTGATCATAGATTCAAAGTGTTTGTAATACCCAATTCTACCGATCCTACCGCTTTCTGTCAACGGGCTAGGGCTGGGGGCATAGAAGAAAAGGCGGGGGAGTGAGCATCGTGATCACGAAAACATGGGGGCAGTGCTGGAGCGAAATCGGTAATTCCGGTGCATCTTCTTTGCTCGAGCAAATGCAGTGGTGTCTTGCTTCAGTACAACATTCGCAATCGATTTGAAGAGGTTTTCAAAGCATTATTTGTGGTCTCAGTTTGCAAAGAAATCCATGGACGCTGATAGAAGATGGGAGTGTTTGCAATATGTGGTTGTTTGCAAGACACACAATTTTTTTCGCAGTTGAGAGCACTGTCAAATTTACAACGAAATAACATTAAGAGCAATCAAGGTGGCATGAAAGAGGTTTTTGATGATATTTATCCATTAGAACACTTCTAAGAGTCTTCCAAGGGAACAATCTGAGAGCATGGTTCAACCACTTGTACTTTTTCCATTTGCACTGTCAACACTCTTAGTCTTCGATTTATGTGAAAGAACTTTGCGCTATCACATGGCCACAATTATATTTTTTTGCGTTTCAAAGAATATCAGTTCGAGCTGGCAAACGTGCAAGAGATGTACAGGATGGTCCTCGTGAAGTGTGACGCAAAAAAAGATTTTATTACTTCGCAACGAATCACTAAAATTGCAAGCTCTTCAAAAACATGTAAAAGATTGTGGATGTCTTGCTCTTGATAGATGTCTTGCTCTGCCTTAGTGAAAGCATTTTTTGATTCCGAATATTTTGCGCGATGCGCGCAGTTTTTTTTTTGGTTCCAGGCTCTCACGGTCCCTTTTAAAAAAATCAGGTGACAGTGGTTTTGAAGAGCAGACTTTTTTCTTCTACCTAGATTGAAAGGAGAATGCGTACGGTTAAGGCTGGGCGAGGTAGACGGCCGATCATTTTTTCTAGCGTCTAGAAGATGGATTTTGCACATTTGCAGTTTCTTCTTTTCGCTGTGGAATGATATATCTGCCCCAAAAATTCCAGACAGCGTTCATAGCGTTTGCTTTGGCCCGAAAAAAGTACCACAGTTCTTCAAAAATAGCTTTAGACGTTTTTTCAGGCTTTCGAAAACTCACGATTTGCTGCTTTTATCACAGCTACGGCTAGTAAAACTTTAAGCTAGATCACCTCAACTAATGCTAAGAACCGAAGTCAAGAATGGCCACATTGGGGCAAATGAATATGGAGAAGAGGCCATCATTGAGACATGGCATGATAGGCAAGGGACATACCTCACGCGATTTCAGTCGCCACGCGATCTGGCAATTTGCCAGATGTTTTCAAATTCAATACTGGTAGACCCCAAATGTACAGCATGTATAACTTTCGTAGGTTGATAAAATGGCCCACCTCCGTACATTTGGAAACTCCGTACGATGAGTTATGAACGTTTGGAGTATTGCCAAATCGCGTCGCGACTGAAATCGCATGAGGTATGTCCGAGGCCATAGACAAAGAAAAGATTTTTTGCAGCCCGTCACACCTCATGTGGACGCCCTATTTTTTGGACAAATTTCCAGAAGTTGTTATGAGCATTTGAGACCAAATACTTGTTGGAGTTACGACCAACTTCGCCATTTCCCCGCTCTTCAGTGTGGATTTTCGGATTCAGCATAGCGAATATGCCCGGGTGAGCAAAAAATCTCGAAATCGTTTGCCCGACACTGCCTCTAAATGCTTTGATTATAGGGTAGGGATATCCCCGCTAAAAATCGAGTGAATGTTTTTTAAACCACGGCACTACGTACTTGACAACATTTCTGACTTTTGAGTGCTGAGAACTTCTTGCAGCATATGGCTTTTACAGATATGGGAAGCTTATTTGAGATCGGTGTCTGGTGATGCGCATCTCTTCTCAGTTTGATGTAACTTGGTATCCTTTTTCATGAGTGAGAAGCCAATTATGCTAAGATGTTTCATTACACATGCAGACGGAACAAAGCTCAGTGCATCTGTAGTTTGGCTGAGAAACCTTCCAATTTTGGTTTTTATGATGCAGTAATATTGCAGTCATCAAGCTCCTGTTTTCTCAACCATGCATTTTCGCAAAAGAAAACTTGTTAATGTGACTTATTATATCGTTCTAATAATCAGCAACCAAGTGCTTAAAGTTCTCTTATAGATATTATCTTTTTGTGTATGGCAAACTCATTTTTTTGGCACTACATAGATTACACCCCCCCCCCCCAAGAATGGGTCGCGAAATTTTTGAAAGTTACTTACGTGAGTCATAGTGCAAGAAATTTATACTTGTAAGTAATAAGAATAATTTTTAGAATTTTCAGTTTAGCTTTACAAAAAATTTTTTCCGGGGCATGGCTAACGCCATGCACCTTCATCAGAAAATTTTTTTTCTCCCCCCCCCCCCTCCCCGAGCCGAAATCCTGGGTACGCCACTGGTAGATTATGACATGACCTACATATGCGCAAACTGTTGGTTCTAATCCAAAAAATAGAAGAGAGTGAATTCCGAGGATTGGTGTAATCACAAGGGAGATCCTCTTCCCTCTTGAAGCAAACATGTCGAGTCGAAACAGACAAAGTGCTTTTGGGACTGTTTTAGCTGAACAAGGTCTAGTATCTTCTTTATTCGACTGGCATTTCGGCTATATCTCCTAATCTAAATTCATTGAAAGCAAGTGTTTACTTCATCATGACCGCATCAGTATCCAAAAAGACCTCCAATACATCACTGAAAAGCGCAATCGTCAGGATTCTAGCATTTAAGTAAAAAGCTGATGACTGCTTGATTTACATACTGTATGGTGAATTAATCTCGTAGAAGTGGTAAAAGAAAATAAGGGCACACCACTTTGCAATGTTGTTGAAAAAATGCGGAAATTGGCGTTATTTTGCAAGTTGAAGTCAATCTTATGGAGCACTGGTTGGCTTTCCCGGTCCAGCCCGGGCCAGTGTTCACTGGCTGTGGGACAGATGCTACAGCTTGTCAGCAAGATTATCGCACTGCGCGTCCCCCCCCCCCCCGTCTTTCTCTTTCATGGATGACTTATCGTGGAAATCCACTTCGATACCGCATCCTCGTGACCTTGGGGAGGAAAGAGATTTACCCGTTTACATGACTATGGAAAAATGTTTGGTTGAAACAAGGTAAGCGTTTATTTGCTTAGAAAAACTCAAACAAGTCGAAGGACCCAACGAACCGCCGTAAATAGCCTATCATCTGCGCAGGGGTCGAAAACATGTGTGTGCAACCTTTCAACTCAGTTGGTAGAGCGGCGCTCGTTTCTTTAACGCGCATATTCTCCAAACTGACTTTGAGTTTTATTTGTGTATAGATATCAGTCATGTATACATATCCCGTATTGAGCAACGGACAGGTAGACGAGCTGCATTTGAGAAATTCTCGAACAAAATTCATTATATCCAATCTCTACGATAGCATTCAAGGTCTCCATAAAAGTTTAGCAAAGAGCCCTCGAAGTGAATGCCAAAGAGGTTTGCTGAGCTATTACAAATTACGAGCTATTACAAGCGGCAAAAATCGTAACTGAATCAAAAATTGTCGCATTTTTTTTTCTTTTTTTTTGAAAGCCATCGCTTCTAGCGGATTTGCAATGTACGCAGACCACTATCTTTCTTAGTTAGGCCTAAGGCATACCTCGCGCGATTCCGGTCGCTGCGCGATTTGGCACAACAGCGACTCTTCGTAATTCGTCGCTAATGCGCTATCTTTGGTCAGAACTTTTTGCAACAATTTACCCAAGCTACCTGAATATGCCTCCGAGAAGCGCGCACGTTAAATTTGTAGAAATCTGGCAAATCGCCAAGTGGCGTGAAAGTGGCGATTCGGCCGAATCGCGTGAGGTATGCCTCAGGCCTTAAGCAGCCATCTTTCCAAATGTGGTTTGTGAAGGCCGTGTCTACCCATCACAAAGTTATATGAGTGCAAAGTGATTTAAATTGCATTCTTACAGCCTGTGGTCGAAGACTCATAACTAGCCGAGCAGAGGCATGCAATAGATAGAAAAACAGAAGTGCTAGGTAACAATAGTTTTTGACTCCTCTTCGATGGGGCCGAAAATGTCGAGAGCGGTTTTGAACATGAAACATCAAAAATGGACACTATCTCTGCGCCAGTTTGGTACTTAGAGTTCATATATTTGCATATATGTATTACTTGTTATGGATAAAGGACTCGCAAAACAATTGCGCAAACTTTTTCGAAGAAGAGCACACATGCGCTTTGCATTTGCTCAAAAGGTGCACATGAAGAACCAAAAATCAGCTAAAGCTTGCTTACGTGCATTTACATTCGTACATCGAAGACCAGTTTTCTCAAAAGGTAATACAGCCCAATTATCGTCGTTTGAGGCTCGAGTGCATGAAACACTTTTATGACCTTCATTTCAGTCAAAGCTTGTTGAGACTTCCCGAGGTTTACTGCTTGTTCTCCCCAAGCTTTCAGGGTCGTATACCTTTTGACCACTACGTGTCTGTGCAGCTGCCAATCCAGTTTTCTTCTATTTATTCACTATGCGAGCAGTTTCAATGACGAATTTTTTTGTTTTGGTGCGTTTCATTGTTCTAAAACTGACCTTTCCGCCAATCCCTTTTGACGGGATTGTGAAAACGAAATAGCGTTCTTTTATGTAAATGAGTTTTCAGGTTTTTGCTTTAATTTGTGAGGCGGTCGTCTTGTATGGGAAAACATCAGATAATATTTTTCCTCGTCCAAGTTAAATGGGAATGTATTATAGCATATATTTCAGCCAACTTTTGCTCAAACTCTACACTGTCTAATACTCTTCGTGATCTATTTCTGAATTTCCACAACTCTGCACGCCTTAGAGTGGCGAAAGGAATCGAGCCAAATAAAACTGGATTGCTAAACCCGGCAAAGAATATGTACAAACTGGTAAGACAACAGAATTAACGTGTTTATCAAAGAGGCTTTTATCAAATATGGTTTTCTCGAGAAAAGATAGAATTGACTTTAGAGGAGTCCCATGATTTTTTACCGTTTTATTGTTTCCCAAAAGGTTTTGCGGTATTGTTCGACAGAGCAAAGCAAACTAAAAAGAAGCCATCCAAACTTTGCTCAAATATGCTCTATATAAAGTTAAAAGCTGATAAGAGGATGATAATTGCCGAAAAATCAAGAAAGAATCTATCTCAGTGAAAAGTCCCTACGGACTTCCTACTTCTTCAGGCATGTACCCTCCACAACTGGCATCTATCAGTAAATTTGCAAAAATTTTCCCATGGTTAGAAATGGAGAAGAAATTTTTATTATCGACAAAACTGCACGAGGTTGCTCCCACGTATGTGATTCTATGGTATAAACCTTCGCAAGTACAATCCTAAATTTTTGACTTTTTATACACCTTTTGAGAAATATCAGATTTAGCACAAAAAACCCCCAGAAGTCGACGTTTTGATGTTTTTGGCGTGCTTTTTAATGTTATTTGTTGAGTTAGTTATCGAAAAAATAAGCGAATTTACAGATAAATACCAGATGTAGAGAGTACATGCCTGAGCAAGTAGGAAGTCCGAGAATTCTTCTGAACGAAGACACGATTTTTTTCTCAAGTTTTCGGGCATTTAGATCATGTCAGGTTTCGCCTTTAAACTTTATGTAGAAACAACTTTGGGCGAATGTTTGGGTGCTAACTTTTGCAGCTTGCTTATTCTGGTCGAAGGATACCGCATAACCTTTTTGAAAAACAAGATGAGTTATTGCGGGAGCAAGTAACTACGGTAAGAAGTTATGGGAGACCCTGATGAAAAGGGATCGAGATAAGCAGATAAAGCTTTGCGTCAAAGTGATCATGTAACAAAGGTACGCACTTTGTTTGAAAAATCATTATAAACAAGATATTTTAATGAAAGTACAAAATGGTAAAGGCTGATGTTTAACACATTGACGACCGCTTGACACACATGGTGTGTCAAGGCTTGACACACCATGACTCTCATTGAAATGGCTACCAATTTTCCAACCAACTCTGGGAGTTTTCTTTTATGCTGTATCTAAATACAACCTCTACTGTTTTTGCCAGCATTCCAGCGCTACTGTAGATGTACTGTAGATGGAATTGCGCATTAATTTGTCTGAAAATTGTTGGCTGGTCCGAGAAAGGCTTTGGTCGTCAAAGTGTTATTGAATACAGTTGGTTAAATCAGAAAAATAACTTGCAATGGATACAACAAAGTAGCAAGTGCATAAAGTCAGTAATAAGAATACCTAATTCTATCTTTACCAGATTTCCTTTTTTTGAGGCGTATAGCCTCCTTTTCGGCTCAACCCACACCGTGTCCTGTTCTTGTCTCCTGTACTTTGATTAGGCTAAGGTAAATGAAAGGCCAAAAATAAAACAAAAAAGGGAAGTTCTTTTACAATGCATTCAACACTAGAACCCAGAATCCAGTCGAGTTTGCGGTTTCGCACTATAATATCGGTACAGGTAAACAGGGAGTAGTGCTTTGTACTAGCACAAAAAGAGTTAGCTAATTCACTTCTGAAATATAGTTGATCATGTTCGAAGATGACCACTTCACATGGGTGGTCCACTATGAGGAACCCTCATAATTTGCTAAAACTCTATGGAGTCTTTGACATGATGATTACGAATACGTGCCTGATTATGCATGATAGAGTCTTTATGTCTTGCTTTCGAAAGGCAAACGATAATGCTGGTGGGGGGGGGGGGGGTAATAAAACAAAAGACAAGGGGGGGGTCGTATCCGGCGCTTGTGAGCCACGCCTCTCGCTCAACTCTGGGGATGACGGACTGGGATAGACTAGGAAAGCTCGCTTTTCACTTATTTTTCCTTATTTTCCCTTTTTCTAAATTTTTGCTTATTTTCCCAATTTGAGAGGTAGAAAATGGGAGGAGCTTGTGTAGCTGCCGCAAGGAAGGACGTAAAATTTGATTTTGCCACCTTGCTCTTTGGGGTCAAAAGCTCACTCATAATGTTTGAATGGCAGAACCTGTGTGCAGCTGGAATAAATTGGGAGTATGCTTTTTTAACTTCTAAAAAAAAAATGAAGATTCCCTTTGCCTGATGGGTGAAGCTTCCCCTTCCTTTCGGCTTCTCCATCTTTTGGAAAGACTTTACTAAAGTGCTCAAAATTTCCGCATGCACTTACTTCACTTTTAAATATGCGTACATCCAACTTTTGGCGTATTTAGATCGAAGCATCGTTGAAGCCTGATTAAGGTGGCCTTGACTCTCCAACCTCTTCCTCAACTATTCCACTACTTTTCTCTCCAGTGATCTTCAAAACAGAAAAGCCTTAAGCTTTCATCAGTAAAGCCCATAGATTTATAATAACTAGTTTTTGACAGATCAAATCTGCAGAAGAAATCAAAAGCCCTGGCAGAGTGCACCTTACTACCCCTCCCCTCACACTTCCTCTTCCCTACTCTATTCGTCCTGAGTAACCGCAACGAGAACCGTTGGAGAACTGTTCCTGGCCTTTCTGAATGCTTCTCCGGCCGGGACCCTGATTCGGGCCTTCTACCATTTCTAGCAAAGGCCCGATTTCCCCTTCAATTACCAATTTTTTAGCCAAAGTAATCTCCTATTTTTCTGAATCTCAATTTTCCTTTCCCGCTCCCTTTGACATGCCTATATATTTTCGGAAATCACATAACGGCTGAATTCCCTTAAAATGTTTGGCATTTGGGTCACAATGGTTTAGTATTGTCCATGTTCGGCTATCCTTGAACCTTGGCATGGCTTGTCACTTGAGAGGTGTGGTTTGAGCGATTGACCAAGATGGTACACAGTTTATTATTGTACAACGGCCTACGTTTCGGCGCTGTCGCCTTCGTCAGAGCCTGGAAGTCGAACTCATCAGAATCCATTCCCTCAGACGTCAACAAAGGACACAGAGTACTATTCGAGAAAAAGCCAAAGAAAACCCAGTCAGAGCAACAAGAGCAACACTAACCTTAGCCAGAAGCAAAACGGAAGTTGAGAGACCGCCGTGTATGCAAGACTATGCCTCAGCTCTACTTATATATGCCGTTGTGACCTGACCTCATATTCAAATCCGCATAGGGATTGATATGGCGCCAGTTCTTTAGTGATAGCGATACACTCCTCCTTTCTATTCATTTTTGTATTTCTGGCTTTTATCCAAAACGCTTCCAACGTTTTGTGCGCAAGGATCTCGGGTTCGAACGACAAGATTTGCACCGCAATTTGAATTTCAGCTTTATCATGGCGCACTATACGATGCTTGCCCAATGCAGTGGCTGCTTTTAACTTATTTAAGCCGTCTATATGTTCTTTAACGCGACAACAGAGAGGGCGGCCCGTTTCACCAATGTGTCCTTTGTTGACGTCTGAGGGAATAGATTCTGATGAGTTCGACTTCCAGGCTCTGACGAAGGCGACAGGCGCCGAAACGTAGGCCATTGTACAATAATAAACTGTGTACCATCTTGGTCAATCGCTCAAACCACACCTTTCAAGTCACAATGGTTTAATTTTTCCTACTTCTCCAGGGTGTTCTAATGCAGAACCACTGGTGCTCCTCGCAGTTTCATACCCGGGTGTGGTGCGGAGGCAACAATCCCTAGTTTTGTGCGTCTCAAAAAGTCCTCGATGTAATAAGTAAAATTCGGCGAAAGTTAGCGAGAAAGACTCCACATTGCTTGCAATCTGCGAAGATTGTTGCCTTCCGCACGCTCCCCCCTCCTCAAATCCATCTGTCGTATGGCATGAATGGGTTAACCGACGATGCTACCATTGGCTGGGTTTAGCTACTTGATGATTTACATTGTTATTTTAGGGTGTCGATTAAGACCATCTAAGACGGGCAAAAAAATATGAGTCATCGGTCTGGTACGCCTGCACCGGCACGCAATGACAAACTTGTTGACATCTTCAGTCCCGTCGCCGCACGAGGGGGTGGGGAGAGACATGTTACAGAATGCCGCTCATTCATCCTGCGCTTTATTGTAAAGACTTTATTATAGAGAAATAGCAGATTACTCGAAGCTTTGACATAATAAATTAGGCTGTCAAAAGTTCTTTCTTGATGAAAGATCCTCAGAGGACTACACCAGCTTCACAGTTTGAACTAGCAAGCAATTAGCAAATTATTATATTTTGGCTAGCGACGACCCGTAGGGTCGCTAGCAAGTGGTTAAAGCAGACACTTGGTGGTGCTCAGGTTGGAATATAATTATTTTGACAGCTCTGATTTGTTCAGTAAGGTTTTTGCACATAGCACTTTGAACCAATTTGGTACATAGAGTGTTCTTTGCTTGATAGGTTTCTCATAAAGGGGGTTAGAAGGTCATGCTTAAAGGCAATGTGCGAGTTTTGGGATTTCAGTGCCATGCGAGAGTAGCCCCCCCCCCCCCCTCAGACACAACATCGCGCAAGTGCGACGTAACGCTCGACCTAGAGCAAGAAAAACGACTGGAAAATGAAGAAACTTACGCCTTGAGGCGGGGTCCTCCGAGCTGTCCGAATTCCTGCTATGCGGCAGAGTACGTATGCCGCAACTGTCAAAATCGTAAGGTCTCGCAGCGACTCTGCGTCTCTGCCTTGGCGGGAACCGCCGAATTTCAAATTGTAATGCTTTGGAAAACGCATGTTCTCGCCGTTTTTGCGCCTTTTAATGTGGATTTTCGGACTCAGCGTTGCGGATAACCCTTGGTAAGTGGATTTTCTAGAAATCGAGTTTTTGCACGGACACTGCCTTCAATGTATCACACGAAATAGGACCAAATACAGGACCATTCGTTTCCTTTTTCGTAATTCCCCGCAAAATTTTAGTTAGTTCTCAATGCAAACACTAATTACTCCAAGCTACAATATCGCTCATATTTTTTGAAAAAAGACGCGGATGTCGCATCATGTATGAACATCACCGTTGCGCAACCGTATCTCGCT